CCAAGCGAAATTGATCTCATGATAATTTAAATGATTAAAACATACCTCTTAAGATTTTAATCCAAGGAATTAACGATAAGTCTCACACAGCGTCGTGTCACAAATCCATCCAAAGAAGTTAGAATTTCGGGATTTCCAGCAAAATATTTGCTCCAAAAGAACTAACGACCCGCAAATTCTTCAAATTTGGCCGCAAAAATTAATCCTAATTAAAGATGATTGTAATGATCATAGATTTCCACGAGCCACAATCACACACGCCGTTGCTAACTTTTTTTAAGCCGTCCAAGAAGTCAAGTTTCCCTCCAAATGAGACAGAAGATCGAAAATACCTAGGAACATGTCATGATCTGATTGGTACAGTCACAATCACAACCGTATGTTCAAAAAATTATTACAAATATTAAGTTTACTTATACATAGAGAATGATATTAACCCTATACTCACATTTTACTATTTAAAACATTTATATTAACCCCCTAAACCTATATTAATGCAAAACAAATAACCGCAACTTCAAGATTCGAATTAAGTTTGGCAAAACTGCCAGAAATCAGTTGTATTTCGATACCGGTGAACCGCGAATCGACCCAAGCCAGAATTTTAACAAAAAAACTCCATGACATAAAAATCGATATCTTTAAGTATTAAATAGGTACGAAATTTAAGTAGGAATAAATCAGCTAATGTGAGCAATTATACGAGATCAAACGAAATGAAATGAAAGTAAATGTAATAAAGAAATTATTAATTAATTATATGTATAATATTGGATCTAATTTTTTTTTTAACGATAACAAACCGAAAATTACAATGAAATTTTAAAACGTAACGCTTCAAACCATTTCTCCACTGGGGCATTGCTAATACGTCGTCCCTCAACTAACAAATCCGTCCACAGAGGCAATATAAGAATATATTTTTCTAACACAATATTGTAGAATTTAGGCGAATAAAACCTATTGTCGCCAGATACAATACCGTTTGATCACTATACGAACAATTTATCACGAGTTCATCAAAATTTGCGTCATATTTGAACAAAACTTCCATTTCATTCGAAGTGTCTAATCTACACGTTATACAAATTTTTCAGTCAATTTTTAACATCTTGAATTTAAAATTATACATATAAATATATATTTTTAAACCAAACTATAAATTGATCAAAACTTGCTATATTAAAAGTATGTGACATAATAGTATATTATTCAACGAGCGTATAATGATGGGTATTAATCACGAGGTGAAGTTTACGGCCACGAGCCGCAGGCGAGTGGCCTAAATTACCGAGTGAATAATACCCATTATACGGGAGTAGAATACTACGATAAAACATTTTAACTGGGACCTATTGACATTCGTGAATATTTTATCTATATCTGAACAAATTACTTTAGAAAATTGGCATATGCATAAGTGGAGAGTAGTTAAATTCTTTAGACTTCCCGATGTTGATGTTAATTCAAGAAATGTTTTCTCTAGATACTCCAAAAATGTCATGTTGTTCCAAAAAATTGATATGGCATTAATAAACGCGTAGCTGAAGTCAAATCACTATTCTAGAAAATATAGGCCATTTTTTTAAAAATTTGCACTGCATTTTAAACTTTTCTAGACACAGTCCAATGGAACCCGCATCGTGCATTTCCGAATATTGTTCAAAAATTGGTACGACAACCCTTTTTATTAAGAGGTAACTGAATATAGTACTCTTTCATGTGCGCTTTTTGCTGCGCGGATCTTTCGCGTAATAATTGGATTTCTTAATACGTTCTCAGTCGCATCTACATGTATGGTGGGCATACCAGGCACACTAAAAAGTAGGTAAATTGTTCCTTACTAAACAAATAAATAAAGAATGGATCGCCGACACTTTGTATACATATATTCAGGGTATTTTTTATGCATACAAATCTGATCTAGTATATCATTACTGTAGTAATCTAATAGGGACAGTCTTTCGGACCTAATTTTCCTTATTACATCTTCTGATTAATATCCCCCAAATTGTTTCTGCTCATTATAAATTTTAAAATTACGTTTTGCCTATACTTATTTATTAGGTTTTATATGCCTCAGTTTATTACGCACTATTTTTCTTTCTACGTCCCTTACATGGCCAGTCATTTTTTTAAATTGGTTATATATAATTAATGGGAGTTCTAAATACATCTACTTCTACCTAACAACCAGTATCTCCTTTTTTTATATAAAAAATGAAAAGTTTGCAGTTGAACACGCAATAACCGTAAACTTTAAGTACACACCTAGATTTTAAATACTGTTGATGTTTGAAATTCACAATGCATATACCAATTTTATTTTTTTTTTCGTATTACATATTTGTAATAGTGCTTTAAGCAATCGCGTTCACATATAGTTTCAAATTTTTCCCAAGTAAAATAAAATTTTCCTTCCAAACTCTTACAAGCTGTATATGATTTTGTTTCTTTCGTATGTGCCTTTATGTTTATATTTCCTACGGGTAAGGCATATAAAGGTACTGTCATGTTTTGTAGTACGGAAATAGTATTTGGTATTATTTCGGGATTTGTTTTACGTTCATAATATCTTTTTCTGTACTTCTTTCTCTTACATCAGTATCTAAGCCAGGTTTATTTTCATCTTCTGATGTAAATACATCTTTTTCTAATTCATCATACTTAGTTTCGTTGGCATCAAATTTAGAATTATCGTCAAAATTAAGCAAAGGAAATGTTTGTATCGGATAGTCTTAACTTTTTATAATTTGTATTTATAGATCACACGTTAGAAATATTTAAATGGAAAAATTTATTTGGCTTCGTTGTGGTCGAAGTTCTTCGTTGCGACTGCAGCTGTTGTATAAGTTCTCGAATTTTTGTTATAATTATCATGTTTAGTCTTAAACGTTTTTAGTTTAAGTTTACTTTATTAGAAACAACAGCGAGATTAGCGTTGCTCTCACGATAGTTTTCGGTCTGTAAATCACAGATTGATAATTCTAATTTATGGATAATTTTTGCAATTTCCCAGTGGAAATGTCTCTTTGTTGGTTGGTAACAAAATTCTTTCTTGTGTAGTGGACTATCACAAATTATTAAATTAAGAACACCTCTCGAATTTCTTCTAAAATACATTTGCAAATAAACTCGATTCTTTTTGCCATCTTGTGCAAAAATATATCTAGAAGCTGCACTAAGCAAAGGATTTTTAATATTAATTGTTTTCAATTTCTAGTTATCAACGGATAATGCTCGTTCACAAAATCCGCTAATATCTTCGGAACAATTTTCAGTTGTTTAGGCATCGTGCGTACCAAGGATATTTATCGTCAATTATCAAAAACTAAATATATTATTATTTTTAATTTATACAAAGAAAAGCTAAACTATTTATAAACGCTATTAAAACACAGCAATAAGTAAGCATACGTATATAACGCGAGCTAACTCTGCCGCACACAGCAAGCCTTGGACCTTACATGAATTATAATTTTAGATGATGGTTCTTCAGTGGGTTGTATAAGCCTCTGTTGGATTCCGCCACTCACTATTAACTATTTTTTCTAAGATATTTTCTTTTACTGTGAATAAAGGCATATTATTATTATTATTATTATCATTATCATTATCATTATCATTATCACTATCATTATCATTATCATTATCATTAT